TGGTCGTCATTTTGGTGAATTACTGGAAGATGGTGGTTCCGGCCAAAAGTAGAACTTCCATTTTAATAGAACTTACAAATTGGTTCCACCTTCTTCAAAAACCTTATCAAACAAAATTTTCAAACTCAGTAAATCACACCTAATGAAATATAATTTCCTCTTTAGAAAGCAGTGCCTATGGTTTTTTCTTTTACAATTCCTCTTGTGGTATCCATGTTTCCTGTCAAATTTCTTAATTATTTTTTCACTAATCTTTCCTCAGTTACTTACAATAGTCTGCATTTTAAAGATGTGTAAACAAGTCAAAATAATTCAAGTAGGCTAAATGAGCATTGGGAACTACCGTCTTACATATATGAATACGAAATTTATCCTTATTATGTTCCATTTACTATCAGAAGTTGACTATATTCCATAGATTAATAGAGCAATTACATGGTCTTCACATTTTTATCCATCAAATTTATTTCATGCATAAAAAATGTTTATCACATGCTAGAATTCTATATATAATTATCCTATTATCATGACATCTTTTTAAACTATAATCTTGTTATCTTCTATTTTATGAAAACATTTAGCATCCACTTCTAAATCTTTAAGCATTGCTACTTTTATATATTTCAAATGTTTGATAGGTCTTGGTCAGGTTAAGTATGTTCTCGTCCACTTATAGGTTGGTAATAAATTTTTATTAACATTTATATTTAATAAATGCTATCAAATTTTGGTTTGTATGAATTAAGATAACAATGTGAGTTTCTTTATTCTGTTAATGCAATCAATTATTTTTTAAAAAACATATTTTGCTATAGGGAATTTGTGTTTGCCAAAGAGAAACAGAGAGAGAGAGACAGAGAGAAAGTGAGAAAGCACCCTCCAATGGGTATGGCCACAACAGAATCACTTCTCATTCATGCTCCTCTTAAGATTTTGAGCACACACACACGTGCATGGTGTGCTTTTCAAGCCTCTAGGATTTGAACCATGTGGTCATTTACGTGGGATCCAGCGGCCTTAACCACCATGCCACTAGCTGGCCCAACCAATTCTCTTTATTTAAGTGGATCTGTTTATTTCTTCTGAAAGAGGCGAGTTCCACTTCCAGCTTCACACAGCCTGGGCCATGAGCACACATGTGCATGCCTGGCAGGTACAGGGAGATCTTCAGGTGTGGGTCCAATATCACAGACCACTGAGTACTTGCTGCACCTCTGTTTGGCCCCTCACATGACCAACTCTATTCCTGGCATAAACCCCACTTGGCTCCTACATATTGGTTACATAAGCACCGTTGGAATTCGTTTTTACTCATTACGATTTTCCAAACGTGTGCACATCTGAGACTGGCGTAGACAGTTCTTTCCTTGTACTAGTCTTCGTTTGTTTCTATCAGCTTTGCTCTAGGTCCCAACAAAATGAAGTGGGTTCTCTCGTGTCTCTTTATCCCCTTGTATGATTTTCTCCCCTTTGACACACTTCCTACAAGGTATTTTTGTGATTTCCTTCATTTGGTTAGTATTCTAACTATGACAGCAAATGTCAGAACAATAATGACAAGTCTCAAAATTCTTATTTCGAAATCTTTAAAAAACACATAGTCATATTTTGTATTCATCCTTTCTGAAACATAACACATAAACTATTCAAAGCTTTGTTTCCCTTCCTCTAATCCCCCCATCTCTCATTCTGCCTCTTCCCTAACATTTATCTGGTAAGTATGAGGCAAACTCAGAGATGCACAGGGCAGGTCACACCCTTGCTTCTCTGTAAGAAACACTGTGTATTCAATATGCAATTACTTTACTGGGCAGTTTACTATGTATCAAGTGAATTAAATAGGGAGGCACTTAAAGATTCTTAAGATTAGATCTCATGTGCCAATATTCTCATCTAGTTCTGATATAAGACTAACAATATAATTATTTATAATCTCTTACAAGTGACTCTTACAAAAAAAAAAACAACAAAGAAAAACAGCCTTAAATGTTAAAATAGAGCAAAATCTTAGTAAGTAATTCTGTAAATAGAGGTCAGGTAGTGGCACAGTGGGAATGCAAATGGACCCACATGGGAAAGGTCCTGGGTTCACATCTGGGGACGTCCCTGAGAACATGGGTAGGTCCATGTATGTCATGGAACTGAGCCAACTGAGACTGAGAGAAGATTGCAGTAGGAGGACTCTTAGGAGGGTGCTTGTTTCTATCTCTTTCTCTCTCTTCCTATATTTCTCTTCTCAGGGAAGAAATGAATAAAGTAAACTTAAGAAAAGAAAGTTATTTTATAGAGAAAGCACAAGATATTATTAGGCTTACTTTCTTTAGTGGAAAAAATGCCAGGTAATTAATATCAATATTTTGTAGATGGTTATTTAAAAGAAGTACATGAATGAAATTATGTGGAATTACCATTATGCTTCTACTTACTAGGCAAAATTTTGTCAAAATATAATGTCAATACCAAGTAGAGAAGAGTATCAAAAAACAACATGAAAAGAGTAGCCATTATTAGGTATGGGTTTTCCCTTTGTGTTCGTCATTTTGGTGAATTACTGGAAGATGGTGGTTCCGGCCAAAAGTAGAACTTCCATTTTAATAGAACTTACAAATTGGTTCCACCTTCTTCAAAAACCTTATCAAACAAAATTTTCAAACTCAGTAAATCACACCTAATGAAATATAATTTCCTCTTTAGAAAGCAGTGCCTATGGTTTTTTCTTTTACAATTCCTCTTGTGGTATCCATGTTTCCTGTCAAATTTCTTAATTATTTTTTCACTAATCTTTCCTCAGTTACTTACAATAGTCTGCATTTTAAAGATGTGTAAACAAGTCAAAATAATTCAAGTAGGCTAAATGAGCATTGGGAACTACCGTCTTACATATATGAATACGAAATTTATCCTTATTATGTTCCATTTACTATCAGAAGTTGACTATATTCCATAGATTAATAGAGCAATTACATGGTCTTCACATTTTTATCCATCAAATTTATTTCATGCATAAAAAATGTTTATCACATGCTAGAATTCTATATATAATTATCCTATTATCATGACATCTTTTTAAACTATAATCTTGTTATCTTCTATTTTATGAAAACATTTAGCATCCACTTCTAAATCTTTAAGCATTGCTACTTTTATATATTTCAAATGTTTGATAGGTCTTGGTCAGGTTAAGTATGTTCTCGTCCACTTATAGGTTGGTAATAAATTTTTATTAACATTTATATTTAATAAATGCTATCAAATTTTGGTTTGTATGAATTAAGATAACAATGTGAGTTTCTTTATTCTGTTAATGCAATCAATTATTTTTTAAAAAACATATTTTGCTATAGGGAATTTGTGTTTGCCAAAGAGAAACAGAGAGAGAGAGACAGAGAGAAAGTGAGAAAGCACCCTCCAATGGGTATGGCCACAACAGAATCACTTCTCATTCATGCTCCTCTTAAGATTTTGAGCACACACACACGTGCATGGTGTGCTTTTCAAGCCTCTAGGATTTGAACCATGTGGTCATTTACGTGGGATCCAGCGGCCTTAACCACCATGCCACTAGCTGGCCCAACCAATTCTCTTTATTTAAGTGGATCTGTTTATTTCTTCTGAAAGAGGCGAGTTCCACTTCCAGCTTCACACAGCCTGGGCCATGAGCACACATGTGCATGCCTGGCAGGTACAGGGAGATCTTCAGGTGTGGGTCCAATATCACAGACCACTGAGTACTTGCTGCACCTCTGTTTGGCCCCTCACATGACCAACTCTATTCCTGGCATAAACCCCACTTGGCTCCTACATATTGGTTACATAAGCACCGTTGGAATTCGTTTTTACTCATTACGATTTTCCAAACGTGTGCACATCTGAGACTGGCGTAGACAGTTCTTTCCTTGTACTAGTCTTCGTTTGTTTCTATCAGCTTTGCTCTAGGTCCCAACAAAATGAAGTGGGTTCTCTCGTGTCTCTTTATCCCCTTGTATGATTTTCTCCCCTTTGACACACTTCCTACAAGGTATTTTTGTGATTTCCTTCATTTGGTTAGTATTCTAACTATGACAGCAAATGTCAGAACAATAATGACAAGTCTCAAAATTCTTATTTCGAAATCTTTAAAAAACACATAGTCATATTTTGTATTCATCCTTTCTGAAACATAACACATAAACTATTCAAAGCTTTGTTTCCCTTCCTCTAATCCCCCCATCTCTCATTCTGCCTCTTCCCTAACATTTATCTGGTAAGTATGAGGCAAACTCAGAGATGCACAGGGCAGGTCACACCCTTGCTTCTCTGTAAGAAACACTGTGTATTCAATATGCAATTACTTTACTGGGCAGTTTACTATGTATCAAGTGAATTAAATAGGGAGGCACTTAAAGATTCTTAAGATTAGATCTCATGTGCCAATATTCTCATCTAGTTCTGATATAAGACTAACAATATAATTATTTATAATCTCTTACAAGTGACTCTTACAAAAAAAAAAACAACAAAGAAAAACAGCCTTAAATGTTAAAATAGAGCAAAATCTTAGTAAGTAATTCTGTAAATAGAGGTCAGGTAGTGGCACAGTGGGAATGCAAATGGACCCACATGGGAAAGGTCCTGGGTTCACATCTGGGGACGTCCCTGAGAACATGGGTAGGTCCATGTATGTCATGGAACTGAGCCAACTGAGACTGAGAGAAGATTGCAGTAGGAGGACTCTTAGGAGGGTGCTTGTTTCTATCTCTTTCTCTCTCTTCCTATATTTCTCTTCTCAGGGAAGAAATGAATAAAGTAAACTTAAGAAAAGAAAGTTATTTTATAGAGAAAGCACAAGATATTATTAGGCTTACTTTCTTTAGTGGAAAAAATGCCAGGTAATTAATATCAATATTTTGTAGATGGTTATTTAAAAGAAGTACATGAATGAAATTATGTGGAATTACCATTATGCTTCTACTTACTAGGCAAAATTTTGTCAAAATATAATGTCAATACCAAGTAGAGAAGAGTATCAAAAAACAACATGAAAAGAGTAGCCATTATTAGGTATGGGTTGCTTGCAGACTCCAAAGGGACATCAGAATTTATGTCATAGTCTAAATGTATAAGCTGAAAAAAAGGAAAAAAAAAGAGAGATGTTGAATTTTAAAAGAATTAGTATTAAATTAAGAATTATTATTGTTTGACACTGGAGTTGTAAAGCTATTTAAACCATAATTTCTGTCTTTATAGGGCTCAGATCTTCTGTAATAGATAGCGATAAACTTACCTAACAACAAAGCAATCTGGGAAGTTAGTGATACAGAGCACTGGGGACAATAGGTAGCACCCGGGAAGTCTCCTAGGAGGAGGTAAAACTCAAGGAGGTGATATTTGAGTTGGACTTAATATAGGACTTTATAAGACTTAAGATGAGGGAAAAGGAGGGCACTCCATTTCGAAGTAAAATCATGGAGTGGTGAAAGTATTTTAGAAGACAGAAAAATAAGTTCCTGC